TCAAGAGACGTGTGCAGATATAGGCAGGTCTGCCCAGTAGATTGTTTGTGACATTGTTTCCAGTGATGAAAAAACCAGAGGCATTCTAGAGGCTCAACCATCTGGGATTAGCTGAGAAAGCTGTGAGGTATCCATGCCGTAAAGACAGTGCTGCTGTTACGCTGCAGAAGACTGCTTTTATCAGGACAAATATAAAGTGCTAAAGGTCATGCCCCCTAATGTTTATGCTGGCTTTGGACTTAAGAGTGATTTTTATTGTCTCTGTGCAGCTTATAATTTGGAGTAGTGAATATATGTTACTGTTATAACTTTTAAAAAATAGTATCAGGCCCGCCTCTTGCCTTGACTGAACATTAACTCGGGCTTCCCATGACTAGCAGTTTCTTGGGGAGACGGAAGGCATTTGGAGCAATCTGCTGCCTTCTGGGTGTGTGTGGGGGGAATAGTAGGGCATCTGGAGTTACCTGGAGAGCACGCTATGGGAGAAGGGAGGCAGCACTACAGCCAGTGAGCAGTCAGCCATGGCCTAGTGACAGGCAGCAGGTAACTGCTGGCTGGTGAGACTTCAGAGCCAGGCTGAGGCCAGGCATTCCTTGTACTTCTTCCGTGTGTCTTCCTCGACTTCTGCTTGGGCACATCCAGCTTTCTCCACCTCAAGGCAAGAGCTGCCAATGTGGGGGTGGGGGTGGGGAGTGGGGGCTGCCAATGTGGGGGTGGGGGTGAGAACAGCCACACTGTTCTCAAGGTCACATGCTCCGCTCTGTGCTTCTTTGAACTTAGCACAGGCCTGACTGACCCAGTGTAGAAATGGAAGGATGGATGAGTGGGTGGCTGAACAGCCAAGTGGATGGAACTCTCCTGTCCCTGCCTCTCCCACCTCCGTCTGTTGACTTTCCATCTCTGCACGTTCAGATACCTCTTCCTCCAGGAAGCCCTTGCTGAGTCCTCCAAGCCCCCAGTGCACTCCACGTTAGTCACACATCGTAACAGTCAGTTATGGGACTCCAAGTTGGTTTGCTCCATCAGAGCATGAATAGTAAAGGCAAGGTCAATGTCCTATCAGCTCTGACTCTCCAGCTGATGCTACTGACAGGGCTCAGCACCTAGAAGGTCTGAATCAATACTAGGAAAGAGTAGAAAGAATTTTTTTTCTCTCCCTGAGGCCATGTGGCTAACAGTAGTGGGGAGGGGGAGTAGTTCCGGCCTCCCTTCTGTCAGCTAAAAGATGCCAATTTCACGGCCCCAGGCGCCTCTCTGCTCCCAAACCCCTCAGTAGTTCTCTTCACTTGCTACCAGTCATAGTCACGAGGGGACCATAGAGGGATGGTGACTCAGCCCAATTCATCACCACAATGGAAAAACCCAGTCACCTGTCCTCCTGGCAGCAGGGCTAGAGCTGCCTCTGCATCTGGAAGGGCAGCAAGCCACACTGTTCTCAAGGTCCTTTTGCCTTTCACCTGCTGAAAAAAATCAAAGCTTAAAGCATGAAGAAGGGGGCCTGGCCATAGCTCAGTTCTTTGGGGCCGGGGAGATGGCTCAGTGGATAAGTGCTTCTCTGGCAAGCGCAAGAGCCTGAGTTCAATCCCTTGTTCTGCAAAAAAAAGAAAAAAAGAAAAAAAAAAAAAAGCATGAAGAAGCATCACTGGTTGACATTGAGGATTTATAGTGTGGTATGAATCCCAAAGACCAGAGCTTTGGGTCCTTCCATGATAGGTTCCAGGTTGTGTCCATGTGCACCATCTCGTAAGTTTCACAAGTCTTTTGTTATCTGAAGTGAGCACTGGCCACTCTTTTGGTGACCAGAATCTACCATGCCCTTCCTACGGGACAGAGCCCACCTCCCACTAGAGAACTGAACACACCTCTTCCCAGCCTCCCTTGCAGCTTTTGTAGTGGACGTGATTGACTTCTCTCAACAGATGCTCCCTCTGGACTGTGAGAAACTGGTGCCACAAGCAAGCCAAGCCCACCAGGAATCCATCATGGTGAGGGTGATGACAGTGGCAGCACTACTTCCCTGGTCTTGGGCAGTAGACGGCGCTGACTACAATGTCCATGCCCAGGGATGGGAATGGTGAGCTGAACACCAGACAAAGGCTACAGGGTCAGGTCTGGTTCCTGAGATCCTGAGAACTGCCTGATCTCCTTTTAACAAAGCCCTTTTCTGCTTGAGTGAGCCAAAGTTCTGCATCAATTCCGTGCAGCTGGCACCATGCCTGATAAATCAGCACAATTATAAGAAAGGGTCTTCATCTCCAGCCTAAGTACAGGCCAGCCAATCTTCCCCTGTCCATCTCGGAAGAACTAAAAACTGGTAGATTTTTTCATCTCTGTGAAGCATCTCTGAAGAACTATGAACTGATAGTTTTCTTTTTTTTTTTTCCCTCTCAGGAGCCCAGTGCAGCAGAGAAACAGGAAAAAGGAAAAAGAGAAAGGGGCTTTATTATCTTGGAGGAAATGTAGAAAATCTGGGGAAGATAAGGAATTCTCTAGTTTGCAACAAAGGGAGGTGGAGGCTTTTATGGCCTGTTGCTGGGGGTGGAGTTTGAAGGGGATGTTTAGATACACCTGAGGGAGCTGATTGGGGGCTTCACTGAGGCATTGTAAAGGGTGAAAGGAAATTATGCCCTGGGCTGAGTTGGAGAAGAAGGGGAGGTGGTCTTGGGGAAGATGGGCTTCTGTTTTAAGGGCTTCAACCATATTAAATGACCACCGTGATGATTTAGCAATTTATACTAGGGCCAGAAGCTACCAAAAACAAGGCAGGAGCATTCCTTAGAGGGCCCTTATCCTAGGAAATAGCTTGGCCCTTACAGTGCTCAGCTTTCCTGTGGTGAACACCCCCCTGCACCTCCCTACTCCCAAGAGCCTGCATGTGGAGCTGAAGAGAAAGGAAGACCCTGGCAACAGGAACTCTCAAGCTTCTAGGGACTCAGCAGTGACCTCCATGCCTGGAGTGACTGACTGTTCCTGAGGGAGCCAAGCTGCTTGTTCCCACTAGACCTGAGCTTGACCTAATAGCTCTTTCTTCATCACCCAGTAAGTCTCTACTTTCAGGGGTTCAGATCTGAAATCAGACCCACGAGAATGCTCACTCAGGTTCCCGAGTCATCTGAAGCAAGGGGACTCTCTGCAGTAGTTCAAGGCCACTGCAGGTGCTCGTGACCATCCAGACAGACACGCCTTAGGGTCAAAGCTCTGTTAGGCAGCCTTCTAGATCCTCTGGGGAAATAAGGAAGAAATAGAGCCTGATGGACTACTTTACTAGAAAATGACCAGTTTTCTCCAATGATTAAGTCTGAAATGATTGAAAAGGTAAAACTCAGGAAAGTCTGAAAGAATCTCTCACGCAGTAATGATCATTTCATCCTCATAATACAAGTGACTTAAACGACATGCCTAGGACTATACTAGTTTAATTGCTATGGAAGCCTTCTGCAATCAGCATCATCCCAGTATCAGAGCATGACATGGAAACAGAGGAGTAACTTGCCTGATGCCACACAGCCAGGAAATCATGGCTCCAGCTTGTGCCGTTAAGCACTGGCTCCTGATTTTTGTGCCCAGAACCACAACTTAGTAGAAGGAAGAATTTCCACAGAGGGAGGCTCACTGTACTCTGGTCACTGACCCTCCCCATCCCCTTACAAAGGAAAACCCTGAGAGGTGGGGATCTCCCCAAGTTGGGGAGGCCAAGCTTGCTGCCTCCTTCATGGTTAGTACCCGGCCCCTCAAACAGTACAAAGCTGTAACTCAAGCAGCAGTGCATGCCCTATATGGGGCCACCAACATCTTACCAGCCTCCCCAGCTGGCAGGTCAGTTAATTTGCTGCCACTGGCAGCTGTCACCTTAAGCTTAACAAAAGCCAGGACCTCAGCCCAGACCAAAGCTGGCAAAGGTCGCCAAAGGGAGGGGAGATGTGACCGGCTCTTTTTAACCTCTCACCTCGCTGCCAATCCTGCCAAGATGACCTGTCCAACACTTTCCTCTGCAAGGAAAAGGCAGGGATCTGGGTAGAGGTAGAGCCCCATCCACATTTACTGCTAGAGCTCTTATTTTAAGCTGTCTTGCCTAAGGAAATATTTTTGGGTTACCAGAGTTCCATACTTCCTAGAGAGGGGCTCTATCTAGGGTCTGTGGCGCCGGCTCTTGAGTCTGACAAGAGGCGAAACAGAGGAAGATGCCTCCCTGTCCTTTCTCACTCATATAATGGAGCACGAATTGGGAGGAGCTGGACCTGGCCAAACGCTACGTGGAATCCCCTGGGCTGAGAGAGAACAGGGAGTCAGCATGACTTCCCCAAGGAAACCCCAAGGCTCTGAAAACATCAGGGGGAGGACGATCCCCCAGGGGACCCCAGCCTCAGTTCTTCCCGACCGCCAGGACTTTTCTCTAGCGGTTCCTAGGGTGCGGTGGGTGCGGCCCGGCGGCAGGGGCAAGGAGAGGAGAGGACACGGATTGGAGAAGGCCCTACAAAGCTGAGATGCCCTCAGGAGTTCACACAAAGACGAAGGCCCGGGCTACCCCCTCCCCCAGAGCCGGACGACCCCCGGGTACAGAAGCACCGGAGGGCGGGAAGGGCCGCGCGACCCCACCCTGCGACCCCACCCTGGCTCAGGGCGCCGCAGGAGGTGAGGAGCGGGCGGGGCGGCGCGGATCGCCCAAGGTGCCAGCTGTCTCTTGCCCACCGCCCAGAGCTCAGGCGCCCGAGACCACCCCAGGCCCCCCACCCGCACCGGCACTGTCCCTAGCCGCGGTCCGCGTCCCCGCCTCCAGCCCCCGCCCCAGTCCCCGCCCCCGGCCCGGCCC